TAATCTGAAAGCAGTCTGAGTCATATCCGATTAAACTTAATGTGTGCAGGATATGAAACTGTGGCATTTTATGTGGCATTCAAATAAAGACAGTAGAAAGAAGGGGGGGGGAGCAATAATTGCTGCCAGCTAAAACGGCCAGGGAATTTAAATACTCCCACATCCACTAGGATTTGGTGCCAAATTGTACAAAGCAAACGTTTAAAAGACATAAAACTCGCATCCGAGCTTCCAGGCAACTATTGTGGTTTCAATGGGGATATTAGTTTATCCTCAATTCAATGAGGAATTGATAACAATAATCACTAGGTTGAGTTGTTTGAAGTAAAACACAATAACAAGCTTCTAACGGAATCATTATTCACTTGAACACAGACAATGTTTTGAAATCCGTTAGATCTCAATACAAACAATAGACTGGAAAGTAATGTATTACAACGCACATTATGAATAATTATAATGCATTGGCTGTAAGTAAAGTGTTTCCAAAGAAATCTATAAAATGTTAAATCTTAAAGAAAGACAATGACATCAATACTACAAATGAATAATCTCACACGGTTCACCACCGAATAGAAACATTTGGATTTGTAATCAAAGACAATGCAAGCTTATCTCTCCTCAGAGTCCATATGTTTTTTTTTTTTGCAGTGTCCTTGTTTGGTCTTAAGCTTCTCAAATATTCATTATTTATCTATTTACAGCTCCTCATTAGCATATATAGCCTTTTCCACCCCAAAGCTATGAATTAAATAACGAACGATAATAAAAAACAAAAACTTTCATAAATAACCAATGAGAGGCCACCTTATTCGACTCCAGATGATAAATGATAAAATTAATAAAATATAAAAATGTGTGATGTGAGAGGAAATGGGTATCATAGAAGTAAAGGGGATTCGGGAATTTAAAGGCCAAAGATGCCTGACCCAATGAATTGTTAAACAAATTATATTAAATAAAGAAGCGAAAAAGTAAGAAAAAGCGTGAAAACAACAGAGGCTAAAAGTGACAGAGAGCAGACCAGCTTGAGAGTGTGTGCACAGTAGCTTTTTCTGAATTGATATTTGCCAGCCAAAGACTGAGACTGCATATATGAACAGCTAACAGCAGGGACATTGCACCTGCAATGTATTCTCTGGCATGAGAAGAAAGCAGAGATACTGGCAAGGCCTCTGCACACTACCTGAAACCACGGATGCAGGATGAGGGTAGCATTCTTTGCTAATTGATTTGGCACAGTGGCACTTTCCATCGCTAGTGCGACAGATTTGAGACAAAATTAATCTGAAAGCAGTCTGAGTCATATCCGATTAAACTTAATGTGTGCAGGATATGAAACTGTGGCATTTTATGTGGCATTCAAATAAAGACAGTAGAAAGAAGGGGGGGGGAGCAATAATTGCTGCCAGCTAAAACGGCCAGGGAATTTAAATACTCCCACATCCACTAGGATTTGGTGCCAAATTGTACAAAGCAAACGTTTAAAAGACATAAAACTCGCATCCGAGCTTCCAGGCAACTATTGTGGTTTCAATGGGGATATTAGTTTATCCTCAATTCAATGAGGAATTGATAACAATAATCACTAGGTTGAGTTGTTTGAAGTAAAACACAATAACAAGCTTCTAACGGAATCATTATTCACTTGAACACAGACAATGTTTTGAAATCCGTTAGATCTCAATACAAACAATAGACTGGAAAGTTTAATACGTCTTTATTTTTTCTTCAATACAGGCAAATAAACTGCCATGAAAGATGTTTGTAAAAAAAAAAGACTGCACATCTTTAGGTTTATTTTGCATACGTGTTAACCTGTTTCTTAAACAGTGTGGGTTTACAGAATTATAGGTAAAAGGAAAAATACACAGTAATCACTATACTACTCAAATGCTGCCATATAGCTTGTCATGCTTTGATGACCTTCAACTATAAAATGCTTAATCTGTAAAAATGCAAATTAAAAATGATCAGCTTGTCACAGCCAGGAGTTCTGTAGATGTCAGTGTCTTGCTGTGTGTGTGAGTGTGTGAGAGAGAGTTCCCTGAATACTGTGTGGTCGAGCAATGACAGGTAAATCAGGTGACAGTCTGGCGGCTGAACAGCTCGATGGTGACCGCGCCGAGGAACACTGGGATGCTCTTCTGATGGAAGAGATGCAGATCTACCAGTCCAGTTAGAGTGCGGGAAAAATCTGTCTCCAACAGCTGCATGCTGCCACTGCCCACTGGACCAGTAGACTGGAGAGAGAGAGAGAGAGAGAGACGGGAGAGAGGTCTGTTTAAACATTTGTAACTTGGCACAGACTACAAACAAATCAAAGTAGCAAGCACCAAACAAATCAACTTCAAAGGTAAGAGTAACAAACAAAAAAGTTAAACTAACAAAAAGTTAACAAGTTTAAGTCAAACAAAACATCAAAAACAGTCGAACAAACTACTACCGGTGGCTAACTAAGTCACTTCCTAACTAGCTAACAGCCAATGGCTCATCATTAAAATTCACTAAACTAACTAGTCATTTAGGTTTATATCAAGCTGTGAGTAATAATAATCTCTGCGTAAGCAGAAGACACAAACCAACAAACTGCTGCTACATAACTAGTTACTAGCTACGGTCACTAACTACTAACAGGAACTAAGTAACAAGTGTCACTAAAACTAAGTCAAACATTGTTTATGTCAAACTGTCAGTAATGATAAGCTGAGTAAGTGATAGACACAAACCAATTAACTAGCTGATACTCCATAGTTAAAACAGGAACTAAGTAACAGAACTAACTAAAACTAACATTCACCAAGTCAACTTTCAAGTAATGATAAGCTCTGACTAAGAAATAGACAAACCAACAAACTACTTTATGACTATTTAAAAAAAAAAAACGAATAGTCTCTAACTAACTAACTAACAGGAACTAAGTAACAAAAGTTACAAAAACTAACTAACATTCACCAAATCAAACATTGTTTGGGTTTATGTCAAGCTGTAATGATAAGCACTTAGTAAGAAATAGAAACAAACCAACTAATAGCTACTACTAACTAGTTAAAAAAATCCAGTCACTAACAGGTACTAAGTAACAAAAGTCACTAAATCCTACTAATCAACATTCCCCAATTCAAACATTGTTTGGTTTTTGTCAAGCTGCAAATGAAAATCTGTAAGCAGTAGACACACTAAAATGTTGTTTACCTGCGTATACTAGTTAACTAACTAGCTAACCAACTAATAGTCTCTCCTAAACAGCTTGCATTGAGTAACAAAATTCACTCAAACACTGTTTGAGTTTTATTTATGTCAGACATTGAGTCATATTATCCTTTATAATATGAAGCCAAACGCACAATAAAACGCTCTCTGTATACATACATCCCTCAAAAACTTCAAAGAAAAAAAGCAGTGAGTCTGTGATTAATTGCTTGCCCAGAGTAGAACCAAAAGGGAGCAAACACAAAATGAGGGCATCAATGCACAATGGTGCTTTCCATGTCAAATCTTTTTAAGTCTGACCTCCATAAGGAGAAGTTAGCATCAAATATATTTTACATTTAGAGGGCTCGAGAAAAGAGGGCTCGAAGTAAAGATTTATTCTTTTTTGCAGTTTTCTGTGCTTTATGAAGCACCGTAATAGCATTCCTGCCTCATAACACCAAAGCACCCCCTCGACACCAGACCTTCTAATACCTGTCCCAGCAAACCTAGTGCATATGAAAATGCCTCTCCTTTGTCTCCAACTTGGTTTTGTTTTCTATTCTCCCAGATCACATTTTAATAAAAGGTCAGCCGGTATTTTTTCACTCTCTTTTTGAGATGGAGTTATTCAGATTGTGACCTTATCAATGTGTTGATGCCTGACCCAATGAATTGTTAAACAAATGATATTAAATAAAGAAGCGAAAAAGTAAGAAAAAGCGTGAAAACAACAGAGGCTAAAAGTGACAGAGAGCAGACCAGCTTGAGAGTGTGTGCACAGTAGCTTTTTCTGAATTGATATTTGCCAGCCAAAGACTGAGTTTGCATATAGGAACAGCTAACAGCAGGGACATTGCACCTGCAATGTATTCTCTGGCATGAGAAGAAAGCAGAGATACTGGCAAGGCCTCTGCACACTACCTGAAACCACGGATGCAGGATGAGGGTAGCATTCTTTGCTAATTGATTTGGCACAGTGGCACTTTCCATCGCTAGTGCGACAGATTTGAGACAAAATTAATCTGAAAGCAGTCTGAGTCATATCCGATTAAACTTAATGTGTGCAGGATATGAAACTGTGGCATTTTATGTGGCATTCAAATAAAGACAGTAGAAAGAAGGGGGGGGGAGCAATAATTGCTGCCAGCTAAAACGGCCAGGGAATTTAAATACTCCCACATCCACTAGGATTTGGTGCCAAATTGTACAAAGCAAACGTTTAAAAGACATAAAACTCGCATCCGAGCTTCCAGGCAACTATTGTGGTTTCAATGGGGATATTAGTTTATCCTCAATTCAATGAGGAATTGATAACAATAATCACTAGGTTGAGTTGTTTGAAGTAAAACACAATAACAAGCTTCTAACGGAATCATTATTCACTTGAACACAGACAATGTTTTGAAATCCGTTAGATCTCAATACAAACAATAGACTGGAAAGTTTAATACGTCTTTATTTTTTCTTCAATACAGGCAAATAAACTGCCATGAAAGATGTTTGTAAAAAAAAAAGACTGCACATCTTTAGGTTTATTTTGCATACGTGTTAACCTGTTTCTTAAACAGTGTGGGTTTACAGAATTATAGGTAAAAGGAAAAATACACAGTAATCACTATACTACTCAAATGCTGCCATATAGCTTGTCATGCTTTGATGACCTTCAACTATAAAATGCTTAATTGAAGTAAAACACAATAACAAGCTTCTAACAGAATCATTATTCACTTGAACACAATGTTTTGAAATCCGTTAGATCTCAATACAAACAATAGACTGGAAAGTTTAATACGTCTTTATTTTTTCTTCAATACAGGCAAATAAACTGCCATGAAAGATGTTTGTAAAAAAAAAAGACTGCACATCTTTAGGTTTATTTTGCATACGTGTTAACCTGTTTCTTAAACAGTGTGGGTTTACAGAATTATAGGTAAAAGGAAAAATACACAGTAATCACTATACTACTCAAATGCTGCCATATAGATTGTCATGCTTTGATGACCTTCAACTATAAAATGCTTAATCTGTAAAAATGCAAATTAAAAATGATCAGCTTGTCACAGCCAGGAGTTCTGTAGATGTCAGTGTCTTGCTGTGTGTGTGAGTGTGTGAGAGAGAGTTCCCTGAATACTGTGTGGTCGAGCAATGACAGGTAAATCAGGTGACAGTCTGGCGGCTGAACAGCTCGATGGTGACCGCGCCGAGGAACACTGGGATGCTCTTCTGATGGAAGAGATGCAGATCTACCAGTCCAGTTAGAGTGCGGGAAAAATCTGTCTCCAACAGCTGCATGCTGCCACTGCCCACTGGACCAGTAGACTGGAGAGAGAGAGAGAGAGAGAGACGGGAGAGAGGTCTGTTTAAACATTTGTAACTTGGCACAGACTACAAACAAATCAAAGTAGCAAGCACCAAACAAATCAACTTCAAAGGTAAGAGTAACAAACAAAAAAGTTAAACTAACAAAAAGTTAACAAGTTTAAGTCAAACAAAACATCAAAAACAGTCGAACAAACTACTACCGGTGGCTAACTAAGTCACTTCCTAACTAGCTAACAGCCAATGGCTCATCATTAAAATTCACTAAACTAACTAGTCATTTAGGTTTATATCAAGCTGTGAGTAATAATAATCTCTGCGTAAGCAGAAGACACAAACCAACAAACTGCTGCTACATAACTAGTTACTAGCTACGGTCACTAACTACTAACAGGAACTAAGTAACAAGTGTCACTAAAACTAAGTCAAACATTGTTTATGTCAAACTGTCAGTAATGATAAGCTGAGTAAGTGATAGACACAAACCAATTAACTAGCTGATACTCCATAGTTAAAACAGGAACTAAGTAACAGAACTAACTAAAACTAACATTCACCAAGTCAACTTTCAAGTAATGATAAGCTCTGACTAAGAAATAGACAAACCAACAAACTACTTTATGACTATTTAAAAAAAAAAAACGAATAGTCTCTAACTAACTAACTAACAGGAACTAAGTAACAAAAGTTACAAAAACTAACTAACATTCACCAAATCAAACATTGTTTGGGTTTATGTCAAGCTGTAATGATAAGCACTTAGTAAGAAATAGAAACAAACCAACTAATAGCTACTACTAACTAGTTAAAAAAATCCAGTCACTAACAGGTACTAAGTAACAAAAGTCACTAAATCCTACTAATCAACATTCCCCAATTCAAACATTGTTTGGTTTTTGTCAAGCTGCAAATGAAAATCTGTAAGCAGTAGACACACTAAAATGTTGTTTACCTGCGTATACTAGTTAACTAACTAGCTAACCAACTAATAGTCTCTCCTAAACAGCTTGCATTGAGTAACAAAATTCACTCAAACACTGTTTGAGTTTTATTTATGTCAGACATTGAGTCATATTATCCTTTATAATATGAAGCCAAACGCACAATAAAACGCTCTCTGTATACATACATCCCTCAAAAACTTCAAAGAAAAAAAGCAGTGAGTCTGTGATTAATTGCTTGCCCAGAGTAGAACCAAAAGGGAGCAAACACAAAATGAGGGCATCAATGCACAATGGTGCTTTCCATGTCAAATCTTTTTAAGTCTGACCTCCATAAGGAGAAGTTAGCATCAAATATATTTTACATTTAGAGGGCTCGAGAAAAGAGGGCTCGAAGTAAAGATTTATTCTTTTTTGCAGTTTTCTGTGCTTTATGAAGCACCGTAATAGCATTCCTGCCTCATAACACCAAAGCACCCCCTCGACACCAGACCTTCTAATACCTGTCCCAGCAAACCGGGCGCATATGAAAATGCCTCTCCTTTGTCTCCAACTTGGTTTTGTTTTCTATTCTCCCAGATCACATTTTAATAAAAGGTCAGCCGGTATTTTTTCACTCTCTTTTTGAGATGGAGTTATTCAGATTGTGACCTTATCAATGTGTTTTGTATTGCCAACGCCACAAAAGGGTGTTATGAACAATATTTGACCTTTTGGCTAACAACAAGTTTGTGTTGATGTTAAAACCTTCCCTGAAGTCCACATGAGAGAAAAGACAAAGACTATTATAAAATGAGAGAAAAATGATTGACTTGGGGAACAGTTGGGCAAACAGACAATGGTAGAAGTTTTCAAATTAGTATAATTTCTATTGCTGCTTCTTCATCTTTCCATTCTCCACGGACACCCAGTTATTTTGGCGTTCCCAACACTGTCAAGCTAAAATCCGTCAAACTAGCGTAACTTCATGCAATGGCATCTCCTGCTAAGCTTTCTTTCTAGAGGACCAACTCCTTCCATCTCGTTTCCTCACTTCTAAGAGTTTGTAAAATGGAGCGTTTGGACCGAAGGGGTGTGAAGTGAATAATTACACCATTTTGCACTTGACCCAAACAGCTGTTTTCTCTCTAAGGATGTAAAAAGGGATGCATATTAACAGTTTACGCCATATTGTAGAGAAAGAAGGGGAGAAAAAGACAGACAGAGAGGGAAAAAGAAAAATATGCTTGCCTAGACTTTGCTCAAGATGCATTTCTGTACATGGAGTGACACCTGTAATGACTCAGCCTTCAGGAGCTTCCAGGGACTTATACTGTAACAGCCTATATATCTCCTGACAAATCCAGAGAGAATCACACACATCACAAAACGCCACAAGCCCAAATACCAAATAAATACACAGCCAAGAAAAGTAAAAAACAGCTGGTCTCAGGAGGAGATGTTACAATATACATTCTGTCTGAAGCCATCAATCCACACACACACTGAAGTAGTTTTCTGCACCACTCGTACTACAGCAGAACAAAAAATATATACCTTTGTTTAATGTTTAAGAATTTAAAATGTTGTTGAGAGTCTGAATGAGAGAAAAAAATACTGGGTACCACAAGCAATATTCTAATTCTGTGTCCTTGCAACACAAAATTACACAAAAATACAGTTTTTACCAGTGTAGTACGATTCACAAACAAATGTTTGTGCATCAGACTATTTCAATAAAATGGTCAAAAAGACTGAAGAACTTTAACATCTGACTCACTATCATACTGATCAGGTGTTTATATGACAATGTGAAGTTATACAGCTATTCAGTTGTTGTTACTGCATTGTAATTTAAAATAAAAAACAAAACTTAATTTTTTACTTTTAACTTTTTCCCTTCATTTTAAGGTCCAGTTTTCACTATCAACAAACCATTAAATATGACTTTTGCCTCAATAAACTCCTAATTTGTTGCTTATTAATAGTTAGTAAGGTAGTTGTTAAATTTAGGTATTGGGTAGGATTAGGGATGTAGAATATGGTCATGCAGAATGTGTTTTATAAGTACTAATAAACAGCCAATATGTTAATAATAGGCATGCTAATAAGCAACTAGTTAATAGTAAGAATTGGTCCGAATACTAAAGTGCTACAAAAAAAAGTACAGGTAAGTTGGAAGAACTTAAAAACACACACACACAAACACACTAAAAAAAACACAAAAAAAAACAGCTGAAGTAGTACAAAGTTTGCAACGAGCCAAGAAGGCACGTACACACAAACAAATTTATGATCCAGTTGAATCTTTGAGTCGTCTGTTGGTGCGAGAGCACCCCGCCGAGCTTAAAGAGAGGAAACGGGAAGCTGTCATTGCGTCGAGTGTGAGGCGGAGGTGTGTGAAGAGCAGTAATTGGCTGTTAAATTAGCTTTATCTACTGATTAGGCAGATGTATAATTAGCCAACTGCTCCTTGCTAACGGCACATCGTGCTTTACCACATCCATGACATGAGATACAGCACATGCACTGCAGATAAAAAGCTACATTAGCTACTAAATTGCACACTTTTTGGCATATTTAGACTAGGAAACAAACATTTTAGAAGTACAAAGTGGGCACAAAAAAGTATTATGACATTATATGACATGCCACAATGTATGTCACTGTATTAAATAATAATAATGAAAAAAGATAAAACTAGTAAACCTATCAAAATTAAGCTAGGTGCCACATTTGTAACATTTTGATGTATTAGTTGTAATGATACAATTGCTACCGTAATGATAGTTTTGATATAATACATGTAATATGATCTGAATATTTTCATAAGTACTTATGAATTGGACTTCACTTAGTTTTTTTCCCCCCAGAAATATATTCACAAAAAAAGGCTGCTGTTCTGACGAGTGTAAGGCAGTTTGTTAGAAAAACAACAGATGTGTTTAGAGGGGAAAAGCTCCATCTATGATGTCACTGACAACAGATGCAATATATCTAGTGTCTTTCTAAGAATTTCTGAAAATATGACATGCAAATTTTTCTCCATTTCGCAGATGCGGCTTTGATAGTGAAGTTCTTGGTGTCCATGAAGACATGCAGACTGTTGATTTAAGATGTAATTTATTTTTTAGTACTTGCAAGCCCAAAATCAAACTGAACTTGACTGAAACAAATATATCTTTAAATGTATGGAAAATGTAGGTTTAACAATAACTGCAAACACAATTGGTCCCAAACCAGCTACATTAATTTAAATAAATACATTTTGCCTATTTTATTTATTTATTTAATAAAATAGTATATAGTAATAGTACTATTTAATAGTATTTAGACATTTCTCATAATTGGGTTACAGGAAATTAGATCCACAAATCATATAAAATTAGCATCTAAATGTAGCCATAAAAAACATGCTAACAGTATATAAAAATGTGAATGCAACTATTTTCCTTGCACTTATGCCATGAATTTGAAATGTGGAAAGAAAAAAAACATGGATAAAAGGTTCATTGGCATTCTTGTTAGTGCAACATTTCTGCTGTATCTAGAGCGAGTGCTTTATGATCTCCTAACTGAATGAGCGTCAGCCAAGGGACTGCGGGAAGGACCACCTCTCCAACTGGAGGAGAGAAGATATAATTGAATAATCAGAAATACGCAAATGAAAAACAAAAAGGTTTCCATTTAAATGCAGATTTTGACATTTTACCTTGGATGAAATGATAAAAAAAAAAGGACAGCAGAATGAGTGATTATTAGGTCCTGGACCAAAGTAGAAAAAAAAACACTGTGATTCTCCTTTGAAAAAACGTACCATCTCTATATACATATTGGTCTATTTATGTTTTCTGCTATATGCTTAATAGAGCATATAGAAATGAGAGTTACAGTACAGCAAACACAAGACTTCACCCACCATCTGTGAGAAACCACACAAGAACAACATAAAACGCAGAGAAGAACATCTGTGGATTAGACTGCAAGACAACGAGAGAAGAACAGATAATGGTTTCCTCACCAGTTAATCTAAACTTTCTTAAACTTCATTTCTACTTTGTAATTTACCATGAACACAAA